CCCCCCACCCCCACACACACAATCGGCTTTAGACAAAACTCTTCAGTTCATGTCCTAGTCTCTAATCGCAATAGCCTTGGTTCATGCCTGGACATTTTAAGGGATCTCCCAGTTATTTCACCAACGTTTCCTGCATGACGACGTTGCCAGGTTTCTTTTACTAATTCACATGCTTTAATAGTTGTGCGAGACGTTTCGTGGCTCCCTTTACCTGTAGACTAAACACCTGTCCTCTGGGCCTGGCTGGGACTCCCTTTCCAGCCGCAACTTAACTGCTGCCCTGGGCACACCTGCCCCCCAGCCCCTCCTCACTGCTCTTTCCCAGGACACAGCTCTGCTGCCCCCCTCCATTCTACCACTCACGTCGTCCCATGTTCTTGTAGAGTCCTTCCTCCCATCTTCACCTTACGAAATGTTATCCATCTTTCAAGATCTAGCTCAAACGCCACCTCCTCCAGGAAGCCTGCAACAAGAATGGCTTCTTCCTCACAAATCTTAAAACTCTTCGTAATGCTCTCCTGGCACTAATTACATCCCTGCAGGCCATGTGACCTGTTCGAAGGTGCTATTCAAAGGGCAGGTCAACTGCACAGAGCAGGTAAACTAGATACGGATGAGGTGGGTGGACTCGGCTGGTCGATTCCCTTGGACCGCCCTTCGGATGCCCGGTGGCCTAGCTCACACTGAATGAGATGACCACAGGCCGGAGAAGTGCAGAGTGATACTTTTTATAACCCTGGGCTCTTTGTCACCCTGAAGTACGTTAGGTGATAATTCTGACACTCCGTGAGCCGCATCACCCAGGCTCACAGTCCAGGCTCTGGGCCTTGAACCGTGCGTTTTGGCTGCATTTGGGCTTCATCTCTTCATCTGCGCCCTTCATGCTGCTTAGAGGCTTGTCGTGGGCAGGCAGTGCCATGGCCTACCACATCACGCACGTACCGGTTCGTAAACGCATCTGTCATCTCATGACATCGTCAGCTCCCCAAGAATAAGAACCCGTCACGGCACATAAAGAAGTATTATTATCTTTGTAATTATAGTAGATATATGTTAAATGGATGTTTGAGAAATACTTGTTGACTAGATGTTTCTAGGTCATGGAAAGAGCGACATTACATTATTTTCACTCTGAGAGATACTTTTGATGAAAGCATCTTACTGTATTTTTATGTCTACAGTTTAACTCCAGATCAGTACAGACACTAGAAGGCTTTAGCCATAGACTTAAATAGATGGATCCATAACGCAACATATTGGCTTCACGACATATTTGAAGAAATGAGAAGACTCCCAACAACAAGTGAGTCAGCAGTAAACGAGAAATACCAGGAGGAAAGGGGGACAGGACAAAGAGTCCTCCCAGCCAGGCCTCGCCTTTTTATCTGGAAAAGAACACCTTCCCCAGGAATCTGCCTACATCGCACTGGCCAGGCTTTTGTCCCGTGATGATCCCCAGCCACAATGGAGTTGAGAAGACAAATGTTTTTAGTTGGGCTCACCGATCATCACCTTCGATGTTCTGTTGCTAAACATGAAGGGGAGATCATGGCTGTGAGGTAGGCGAGCAGCAGCGCGTGCCTCGTGTGCTATGAGGCAAAGCGCGTCCATGCTCAGATATCACACATTCGTGACTGGCTTGACCTCGTACTCATAGGAAGATGTATCCTCCTCGGTTTAACATCCCACCTGACAGTTAGCGCCATCGTGGACAATGTCTTCAGATCTTGCAAAAATAAAATTTTCCATTAATCCGAATTTGTGGACACACAGGAGAAGAGTTCTAACCTCTCCTGGGGTCTGTACATTGAGGACTTGGGTTCAAGGACAGGTAACACGAATAAGACGTGGTGGTCAAACCTCTCTGAAGACATAAACGTGAAAGGGTTTCTTCGAATGACTGTCGTCGCAGCTTCCTCGAGGTTCTTGGCAGAGCAGTCAGCAGAAGTCAGTGTCTCCCAGACCCTCAGTTTACGACTTGTCATAATCGGCTTCCTTCCCGTCTCCCAACTGCCCTCTCATCATCCGACAGCACAGTCTCTTTCCTCCTGCCACACGGAACTCCCAGAAGGTCTCCGCCTTCACCACGGCCGGCCTTCTGGGCCTCGCGCGGGTTGGGTGCCCGCCTGTCTCTCCATCGCATCTCCCGGCCCCTTCTCACCTGCTACGCTTCAGGCACATCAGTCCCCTTTGCCAAGTCAAAATACAAAGTTCATTCCCCGCTTAAGACTTTATAACAGCTCCTCCCTCTGCCTGACACGATCATCTCCTGAGCTTCCTACAAGTGCCTTTCAGCTCTCAGTTTAAACGCCACCTCCCTGAGGAGGCGGCCCGCACTCTGCATTCTCATGTAGCCCCCTACCCGGCCCAGCACCACCGCCGGCCTATGATATTCTCCTAAAGCACACCTCACTACCTAAGAATTCTCTCGTTCAATTGTTATTGTTTCTGCCCTACTAGAATGTTAGAATTATGAGAAAGGAAATTTCGTTTTGTTCACCGCTGTATCTTCAGTACTGGAACACGGCAGATATTCAGTTCATGTTTAGTGAATGAATGAAGCAGTAAAAAGTGAATGTCGCTGCTCTGCCTGTAACGCCCTTCTCCACCAGGTCCCCCTCGTCAGACCCCGAACACCCCACCCCTCGCCCCTCGCCCCATCTGATTTAAATGTCTCTCTCCCGTGTTCCTATAGCGTCTTGCCTAGGACAGCATCAGTTATATATACTGTCATTCTCGATTACCTGTCCATTTCTCCATCGGACACAAAGTGAGCAAAGCCCCAAGTTCGTCATCTCTGAATCAGATGCCAGGCTTTATGAGCACATGCAAAGTAGAAAGAGGCCGGGCAGGAGCCTGACGAGTGGCAATGGGCTGGGATTCCCCCACCCCTCCCCGCGGCAGGGAGCAACCTGTACACCTGCCCGTCAAGGCTCTGCTAGACAGTAACTGTTTAATTCAACGAGGGAGTGAATTTTCTCTCTATGAGCAGTTTTCTTAAAGGCAAAGAAACTAGGGCTGGGGGAGGGACGAGAATTATCAAAAGCTTCCTCTTTCACTGGCACCGTTCTAGGTTGTTCTGTTTCCTTTTTTTTTAACCACTTTTTTGAGATATGATTGACACACAAAGAGCTGGACATGTTAAATGTGTACAACTCGATGAGTTTGGAGATAAGTATACACCTGTGAAACCATCACCACGATCGATGCCATCAGCAGACCTATCACCTCCAACAGTTTCCTCCCATACTCTTCCCTGCGTGTGTGCCTGTGTGTGTGCATTAAGAACACTTATTTGTAGGTTTTTTCCACACGTGTCATGCACTTCTTTCAACAGCCCCGTGAAAGAAAGATTAGTCTTATCACTCTGGGATGGAGAAATGGGCTCAGAGCAGTTTTGCAACTTCCCCAAGGTCGCAGTGTTGGTAAACAGTGAGTCTGTGACTAAAACCCAGGCCCATCTGACTGTAAGGTTGTCCCCAGCTGACCTTGACTGCGTGGAACATGGCTGCTTGTTCCCAGGAGCCATGGGTTATGTAAACACTCCTGCTAGGACAGGTCCGTCTGGGTAAAAGCTTACCTTGTCGCTCCTTTTTTTAGTGTCCCTTGACCCCTAGTGTTGTTGACTGCCTGATGATTGTTTGGCAGATTTAGATTAAAATTCTCTGATATTTCTAAGGCTGTAGCAGAATTGTATTATCGAATAGGAATGTTATTTAATCAAATAATTAAAAATGGATTACCGCTTGTTATGTTTTAGGTTACT